GGGAAATCAGGGTGTGCACCCTGGTGCCCCCTACAGAGTACTGTGGAGTTTTATGCACAACAGGCATTGAAAAAAGATGGTCAAAAGCAGGAAAAAAAACTCAGGAAATGGTAGTGTCATTAAAGTTAGCACAAGGTAATTGTGTAGCTAGAAGTTTTTAGAAATCCTGAAAAGCTTTTGTGTCCTTAATAATGAATTTTAGGTCTTCACAGATGTTAATTGTGTAATTGCAGAGGGTATTTTATTTTCTTTACCCATCCCTTGCAAAATTAGAATGCTATAAGTATTTTATACGAAGAATATTTACTGAGACTAACTTAAATGCATACTGACCTTATTCCCCTTTGTCAACCTGCATCTCAGGCATTTTTCTAAGGTTATTTCCATTCTTCCTAAAGTGTATCTTTTAGAACAGATCTCAACAGGTGGACTTCAAATCATCCCTCCACACCCCAAGAAAACATATTAAAAATAAATGCGAACATTCTGTAATTAAATGAATTGGTGATAATTTCTAGAATTTGTAGTGTGAGCTAGGGATGCTGATGATCTTGAAAGACATAAAGAATAACCTTCCATCTAAAAGAACTAGTCTGCTTTCTATATGAGTTTATTTCTGTAAGACATTCGTGTACAGGAGAAAGTTCCTGATAATTATCTGAGTCCAGGAGCCAATTCCATCTCCAGAAAAATAGTATTTGGCATACACTCCCCATAATGTCACATTCTCTTCAATAATGAATTAAATAGGTCAACGATTGGTATAAAAATGTTACACAAACAAAAAACAACCACATATAACACAAAGAATTGATCTGAAGCCTTTTAACAGGTCTAAAGTTTTCCAGAAATGCAAAATAGATAAATCAAAGAAAGGCATGTATTATATTCTTCTGCATTTAAAATTTCAGAAAACCGCATCTTAGTGTTTACATTTCTGATTCATCAGTGTTAGTCCTTCTATGTAGCGCACTGATTCTATGCATGTGCTCAAATGCTCATACACTTACACATGAATATTGATGTATTGGATTTTTAGTTTCATTCACAAATTAACTCAGACATGTCTGCCATGTCTGCTTTGCTAATGTTTTCTTTTTCCTTTTTATGTGTGCTTGGGTTTCAGTTATACAATGATCAAGTACCCATTCCTCCACCAGTGCTCATTCTTCACCACCAATAGATCCCAGTAGCCCTCCCACCCCCCACCCCACCCCGCCTCTGTGGCAGGGCAATCCCTTTTGCTCACTCTTTCCTTTAGGGTGTTGTAGTTTTCAATAGAAGTATTGAGTGGCCATCGTGTTCGGTCTATAGTCTACTTTCAGCACGCATCTCACATCCCGAGTGAGTCCTCTAAACATCCTTTACTTGGTGTTTCCTTCTCCATCTGAGCTGCCTTTTCCTCCAGCATCTGATGCCGGCATCCAAGCTACGGAATAGACCTCCTGGTACTTATCTCAACTATTCTTGGGTGTTCGATTCCCATTCTGTTACTTTATATTCCCCAGATGAGTGCAGTTTTTCTATGTCTGTCCCTCTCTTTCTGGCTCATTTCACTTAGCATGATACTTTCCTTGTAGAACCACTTGTATGCAAATTTCATGACTTCATCTTTTCTAACAGCTGTATAGTATTTCATTGTGTAGCTGTAGCAAAGTTTCTTTAACCGGTCATCTGTTCTCGGGCACTTGGGTTTTTCCCAAAATTTGGCTACTGTGAACAGTGCAGCAATGAACATAGAAGTACAGATGCCATTTCAACTGTACTTTTTTGCCTCTCCAGGATATATTCCCAGGAGTGGTATTGCTGGGTCAAATGGGAGCTCAATTTCTAATTTTTTGAGAATCGTCCATACTGTTTTCCAAAAGGGCTGAACCAGTCGGCATTCCCACCAGCAGTGAAGGAGGGACTGAATCAAGAAGATCTAGAATACCTGAATAGTCCTATTAATATCAAGGAAATTGAAACTGTAATAAAAATTCTCCCCAAAAATAAAAGCCCAGGTCCAGATCCACTAGCGAGTTTTTCCAAACATTTAAAGAGGACCTATTACTGGGGCTGGAGAGAGCACAGCGGGTAGGGTGTTTGCCTTGCACATGGCTGACCCGGGTTTGATTCCCAGCAATGGTCTCCTGAGCACCGCCAGGAGTAATTCCTGAGTGCAGAGCCAGGAGTAAGCCCTGTGTATCATCGGGTTTGACCCAAAAAGCAAAAAAAAAAAAAAAAAAAAAAAAAAAAAAAAAGACTTATTGCCAGTTCTTCTTAAGTTTTTCCAGGAAACTGAAGAAACAGAAACTCTCCCAAACAATTTTTATGAAGCTCATATATCTCTAATATCAAAAGTAAATAAAGACACCACAAGAAAAGAAAACTACAGGCCGATATCCCTGATGAACATGGATGCGAAGAGTCTCAACAACATACTAGCAAATAGAATTCAACAACTCATCAAAAAGATCATACACCATGACCTAGAGGGATTCATCCCGGGGATGCAAGGATGGTTTAACATTTGTAAATCAATCAACATAATCCATCATATCAACAAAAGACAAGATAAAAAACCATATGATTGTATCAATAGATGCAGAGAAAGCATTTGACAAGATCCAGGACCCGTTTATGATGAAAACTGTCACCAAAATGGGTATAGAAGGGGCTTTCCTCAATATAAAGCCATCTTTTTCCTTTTTGAGTGGACAGGGCACTCCCAAGTGGTACTCGGGATATGCTAGTCACTCCCTGTGATATTCGGCTCAGCACAGAGTTCAGTGCTGGGGCCCCAGGTGTGAAGTGATGGTTGGAACTGTCTGGGAATTTTTAGGGCCACTATGGTGAGCTTGGGGAAGCTTTCAGGGCTCAGGAGGCTCAGTAGTGCCAGAAGCAGTACTAGGATTTTGCTCCCATCCCCTGTCCAATCCCAGAGGCCCTTCCTAAACCCCTCCTCCACCCTCTCTGGGGCCACAGCAGGAGCTGCTTGGTTTGGGCATTATCTCAGTCCTGATATACATTTTCAATCTATTAGTGAAGCAATCAGAAAAGTTATACTTCTACTACTGGCAGTAATAGCAAAAAAAAAAATGTATCATTAATACTGGCTAACATCTGATGTCACATATTGGAGGGGAAAATAAAATAAAATGGACATAGGAGAATTTACTGACAATGAGCTATCAGGGGCTTGGTACTGACTTTTCAGCGGGTAGGGCGTTTGCCTTGCACATGGTCAACCCAAGTTCGATTCCTCTGTCCTTTTCGGAGAGTCCAGCAAGCTACTGAGAGTATCCAGACCCCATGGCAGAGCCTGGCAAGCTCCCCATGGCGTATTTGAATTGCCAAAAACAGTAACAAGTCTCACAATGGAGATGTCACTGGTGCCCACTCCAGCAAATTGATGAACAAAGGGAGGACGCTGCTACAGTGCTACCTAATATGCTGAGTTGATTTCACGTAGCTTGGATATAACCAAACCTTATAAATTAATCTAGAGTGGAAACTGGAAAACGGACCTTGCTATTACATTGCAGCTTTCTGCTGAATGATCTTTTTGAAGTCTCAAGATGCCTCTGAAATTCAACTATGTTCTGCTAGATAGATGTAAGCCAAAATGTTTGTTTCTCTAAATGTGACAAAATAACTTTTTTAGGATATACATGATAAACTTTTAGTATCTGCGTTGCAAACTACAATGCCCAAAAGGAGAAAGGTGTGTGTGTGTGTGTGTGTGTGTGTGTGTGTGAGAGAGAGAGAGAGAGAGAGAGAGAGAGAGAGAGAAGAGACAGAGAGGAGAGAAAGAGAGAGAGAGAGAGAGAGAGAGAGAGAGAGAGAGAGAGAGAGAGAACTAGCGCACGTGAGAGGGCACAGCTGAGGGAAAAAAACCTGCCTTCCATAGAGTCAGGCTTTGGGGAGGGGGAAATTGGGTGGTGGTGGTGGTGGAGGGAAACTGTGGACACTGGTGCAGATAAATGTACACTGGTGGAGGGATGAATGTTGGAAACACTGTATTGCACTGTATATTCCAATCACGAACAGCTTTGCAATGAGCTATCTCATGGTAATTAAATAAAAAAAAAAAAAAGAAAAACAACCCTTTCAGTATTGGTCCACTTACTTCTCTAGCCTCCCCACCTCCCCTTTCTGACCCTATCAGCTCGGGTACAGGAATATGCAAACACCGTCAGGCCCTTGTCCTTGGAATGTTCCATTTAGTAGTTTCCTTTCTCCTTGTTTCTTTGACTCGTCTCTTCAGTGCAGAGCTAGTTTTGGGTTATCAAAGCATCTACCTGGAGCAGATCTCCAGCATACCCGTACTGCCATGCTAACCATGAATGTCTTTCTTTTGCTTGATCAGGTTATGAGGGAAGTGCCCATAATTCTCGCAAACTGTTGGATAGGAGGCAGCTAGTCAGAGCAAAGAGCTCTGTCTCAATACTAGTCACTCATCAATGAAAACTTCCAGGCGACTTTCATTTTTACTCCCAGGATCACTCTTTTACGGACCATCATTTGCTCCCTTGCTTTTCCCCCCTCCCACCTACTGCAAGCCGGAAGCTACAACTACAACTGCCCCCGAAGCCAGAGGAGCCCCGGCCGGTCGCTAAGTGACACCCCGTCCCACCTACGGGAGCGCGTCCACGCGGTGACGTCACACGCAGCGGGGTCACCTCCGAGTTTAGGCCCGCCCCTCTGCGCCTTCCGGAATTTCCCCTCCCTTTTTTTTCCCCCCCGTCTCTAGTCTGGGGAGCCTGAGCCTTTGGGGAGACCGAAGGCCGGCGACAACGAGTACTAACGGCGGGTCGTCGCGGATCCCCCCTTGCCCCAAGCAACGTGACCGGTTTTCCACTACGCAGCGCGGACAGCGGCCTCCCGACGGCGCGGCGCTCCGCGCGGTCTCCCGGGAAACGGCGTCGCGAGGGGCGGGGCCGCGCGTGCGCAGTGCGCGGCGTGTGCGCGGCGCCGGGGTCGTGAGCACCCGAGTGTGTGTGTGTGTGTTCTTGACAGGATGGCTCATTTCTCCTGTGAAGACGAGGCCAGGCTGCAGACGATGCTGAAGCAGTTATTCCAGAGCCTGAAGGAGAAAATCACGGGGGCGCCCTCCCTGGAGTGCGCCGAGGAGATCCTCTTACACCTGGAGGAAACTGATGAGAATTTCCACAAGTAAATTTGCTTTTGATGTCTTAACGCAAAGCTCCCGCCTGATGCAGAAAAGTTCAAAGTGTAGTTTTAAGAAGTGTTGGTTGGGTTCTTGTCGCTAAAACTAGCGCCCCGGGTCGCAAATTTATTGCTTCCTTCATTTACCCAAATATCGAATTTATTCTTATATTACAAAGTTCCTGCTATCTTTATAATTTTCCTAACACAATCACCATATCCCCGCCCTCTGCTTTTTTTTTTCTCTTCTCCTGGGCAATACGATACATCGATTATAAATAATTCCTGTTCCCTTATGAATAATTCTATTATTTCAAGGAATTTCCGCTCCTGTATTGAAAAGCATTGAATTCCCAGCATCCTTTTTCCTTTGCTGATTCTATATTTTCAGTGATTCTGCCAGTTATTCCTTGTGAGCACACCAGGGATAGTTTAATCCCTAGGAAGGAATAATACACATGTCTGTGATACGTGTCAGGACTGTAAATGCCTTGGAAGAGGTAGAGTGTTCTGGATTGGGGGTACTAGAGATAGAGGTTTAAATTAGATAGGTACCATTTGAAATAACATATTAAAGACTGTTTCTTTACAAACTTAAATTAATGTTTTATTAGCTTATATAGTTAAATTAAGCCTCACCAAGGAAAATTTTGCACCATATGCTTCAGTTCATTACGATCAATAAATAGTATTTTAAATGTTTGCATTTCAGTTTGACCTCACAGAGATGACATTAAGTTTTGTTTTTGTCTTTACTGATTCTGGGTACCCAGAGATTTTCCTAATTTGAAATTTCTGCCAATATTATATGTACCATCAGAGGATCCTTCACCTATTTTATTTTTGTGCAAAAGTTTGTGTTTACTTGCAATGTTTTTGAGAGAGCGTTTACAATTTTCGCTGGGTTATCAAGGGGGTTTTAAATTGTGGAAGGGATTCTTTTAATACAGTTCCTAATTCATTAGCACTTCTAATTGTACATATGGTTTCATTTGTATTCTGATGATTTTCTTGTTTATATCTTTATTAAATTACTACCAACAGTTGTTTTTGGATAAGAGTAGTCTTAGTTTTGAAACTAATAGAGAACAGCTTTTGTTAATGAGTTATTTGATTTTTTACTGAGACAGTGAGATATAGGCAAATTCTAACTTAAGTTTAGGTTTGCTCATGAATGTATTTAAATTTTTTTAGTTTTTGTATTTTGGGTTTTGGAGCAAACCCTGCATGTTCAGGGCTTACTCCTGTCTCGTTGCTCAGGGATCACTCCTAGTGTTGCTGTGAATCTCATATGTAGTGCAGTTGAAACAGGTTTTAGCCATATGTACTGTCCAGCTGTCATTAGTGTTTTACATATACTAATTTACTTCATACTAGTCCACTTGTAGTATAATAAATTTGGTGCGTCATTTCTGTTTTTCATTTCACATACAAATAGTTTAAAATATTTACAAATAACTGAGTCAGTGTTAAGTTGTATTATTGGAATTTGTCTATTTCAGCTATATTTTTCTAGGTAGTTGCGTAATACCCTGCTATTAGTTTTTGTTGTCATTGCCCAGCAGTGCTCTTGTCTTTCTGGACATTCCTAGTGGCCAGGGCCTGATTAGTTTTTGCCTGGGATGTGGTGTTAGGAGTCTGTAAGGCCACAAGTATCTCGTTCTCTGGGGCACCCTGCAATGCCTGAGAAATAACTCAGGGTCTCTTGCATATAATACACATGCTCCATCCCTGTAAGCTCTCTCCTCTGCCTCATTCTGTTACATTTTTAGTATGTCTAGTATCTGTAGTTCTGTTCCCCTTTTGCTTATTAACTTTCCTGTCCTGTCCTGTCCTCGCGTTGTTCATTGATTTGCTGGAGCGGGCCCAGTAGCGTCTTCATTGTGAGACTTTTTGTCATAACTAAAAAAAAAAAAAGTTTTTGCCTTCTTCTATTCTTAATCTATTCTGCAGAAGTTTATTACTTTTGTGTTTTGTTTTTGGGTCACACAGGATGATGATGATTAGGGGCTATTCCCAACTCTCAATATTTTGTTCTGGAATTGTTCCTGGCTGTGTTCGGGATAGCAAGCAGGGTTTGGGATCAAAGAGGACCTCCTGCAGGCCAAAATATGTGCTCAACTTGTTGACACATCTCTCTGGCCCAAGAGATTTATTACTTCTATTCGTCTTTCCAATGGACCACTGTTGACTTTACTTTTCTATTATGTGGTTATTTTATGTTTATTGAGTTTGTGCTTTGTTCATTTTCTAATGAATATGAAACTTTTGTTTATTTATTTATTTTTTTGCTTTTTGGGTTACACCCGGCAGTGCACAGGGGTTAGTCCTGGCTCATGCACTCAGGAACTGCTCCTGGCAGTGCTCAGGGGACCTTATGGGATGCTGGGATTCGAACCTGGGTTCGCCGTTGCATGCAAGGCAAACACCCTACCTGCTGTACTATCACTCCAGCTCCTGAAACTTTTGTCATGAATGTTTAGGTAATTAATTCGCAGCTCGTTTCTTAATGTAAACATTTGAGACTAAAAGATTTGCCTGAAGGCATTGTTTTAGCTGTGTCCAGTTTTAAAATGTTACTTCTCAGCAGTGTAATGGCTGTAGTGATAAACATAATTTCCTGTTCTTCACAAATTCATTAGATTGAATATCTTACAAATTACATGCATAGTTAGTGTTCAGACCTTGTTTTTGTTTTGGGGTGATATGCTATATTGCTGGGGGGCTTGTTCTTAGAAGTACCAGGATCGACCCCATGTTTTCCACAGGCAAAGCAAGTGCCCCAACCTTTTGACCTGCCTCCTCGTCTGTCTATTTACTATGGAGATTTATTTGTGGCCTTCCTATCAGAAAGACACATTCAAAGTTCTAACCAGTTTCTCATCTTAAAAATAAGATTTAGGTGGAGTTCATGCACAATTCAGTCAGCTAATCAGTGGCTGACTAAATAGCAGTACTCCTGCATATAAAAAGAAAAAATAAGATTTATTGCCCCCAAAGTAGTTGAAATATTTTGTAGTCTTAAGAGCCTAGTTGGGGTTGAAGAGATGGTAAAGTGGCAAAGGGGGTTTTCACACAACCACCCTAAATTTGATGATTCTCACTTCATGTGATCCCCTGAGAACAAGGAAAGAACTCTGAACTGAGAGCCAAAAGTAAGCCTGTGTACCACTTAGAATGGCCACCAAAGAAAGCATAGAAGGTGAAATCATGTATAGCTTCAGAAGCCTGATCTGTGTCTTAGGAAGAAGAAACTCTCTACCTAAGCAGAGTGGGAGAGAAAAAGGTGCTTGCTGTGACAGTTTCATGCCAGTTTGTAATATTAGAATTGGATACGATCTTTTAAGGTCAGTTAGCCGAGGCATCTGTTTATTTTTTCCCTGTTCTATCATTGCATTTATATGACATAGTCTTTTTCTCATTGACCCAATTCTCCATGAATGTTGTTTCTGCGTCCTGAAATGTTTCATACTTCAGGATTAATGTCTTTCCCTCTTCAAAGGCAAGATACTGGTTCCTTAAATTTGCCAAATGTTGTCTTGTTTTAGGTAGGAAAATCTCACTGTATTGGCTTATAGGCAGAGGGTATCCATAGATAATGGCCTTTTTGTAGGAAAATAATTGTCAAGAAAACTGAGTCCACAAATGATGGAAGTTTTGTAATACAAATTAAAGTTGGAGGAGGTGTGTAGGCATTAGTGATGAAACCGTGTTGTAGGATAAATATAGCCCTTTCTGAATTTGTCCCATGAAGTAGCTGTACTAAACTATCTGCTTTGTTTGTTTTTGGGCCACAACCTGTGGTTCTCAGGGCTTACCCCTGGCCCTGTGCTTCAGGGTCACTCCTGACAGGTCTTGGGGGGTCCACATGAAGTGCTGGGGATAGAACTGGGGTCAGCTGTGTGCAAGACAAGTATGTGTCCCTTTGTACCTCCTACCCCATACCCCCGAAGTATCTGCTTTATTTAAATTCTTTTACATCTATCTTAAACTACACTCATTCTCTGAAACACCCAAACTTTCCTTTCCTCACACGTGTGTGCATGCGTGCGTGCGTGTGAGTGTGTGTGTGTGTGGGGGGTGAGACGTAGGGAAGAGAACATTGCTTTGGTATGCCTGTGTGTGTTGTGTATAGTTTTGCCTTTGATGGACCCCGTAGAACAAACTGAACTGATTTTCAACCTAGGTTATGCTGGAGTCATTTGTGGCAAGTTTAAAAAGTACTGATATGTAGGGCTGGAGCGATAGCACAGTGGGTAGGGCATTTGCTTGCACACGGCCGACCTGGGTGACCCCAGTTCAATTCCTTTGCCCCTCTGCCCCTCTCGAAGAGTCCAGCAAGCTACCGAGAGTATCTCGCCCGCACAGCAAAGCCTGGCAAGCTACCTGTTACGTATTCAGTATGCCAAACACAGTAACAACAAGTCTCACTATAGAGACGTTACTGGTGCCCGCTCAAGCAAATCGATGAACAACTGGAGGACAGTGCTACAGTGCTACTGATATGTAGGTCTTACTATAAAATTTGACACAGAGGGGCAGTGAGAAAGACTGCGTCTTGCTGTTTTTGAAAAGGCTCTTTAGGTGATATTGGTGTGCTGTTAGGTTGGAGAACTCTTCCCCACCCCCCAAAGAAACAAAACAAAACTTGCATTTCAGTGGAAGCTATATTGTGTATCTTTTCTTTTCTCTTTTTTTGTTGAGGGTGGGAAGTTTTTGGGCTACAGCTGGCTTTAGAGGATTTACTCCTGGCTCTGTGCTCAGGAATTACTCCTAATGTGGTCCCGGGGATCAAATCTGGTTCTGCTGCATGCAAGACTAGCATTTTCTTTGCTGTATCGTGTCTGGCCCCTAATTTCTTTTTTGATACTTAATAGTAATGTTCATGATTTTAATAATTTCTAATGCAGACCCTCATATTTGTAGCCCTTTCATCTAATATATTTTTGATTTGCTTATTGAACTCATATAGGTTTATTGAACTGAATTCATTTATCAGAAGGAAA